ATCGCAACGAAGGAGTGCACGATAATTAAAAAGTAATTAAAATACAAAACAAAAAATTAAAAAACTTGAAATATGCAAACCAATAAAATGTTAAAATTACAAATAGAACTAAATTTTCATTATCACTGGTCAAGTTTTATGGAATTCTGGGGCTTGTGATTTCCCTAGTGTTACCTTTAATCTACAGTTACTCAAATTCCTGCAGTAAGATTGTAATATTCCTTCGCGTGCAGCTTACCTCAAGATATTTAAGCCACATCAGGATGCAAGAATTTGAACAGGCTTCTTTTTGACCGCATGCGAGAAAAATTATGTGAACCTATGGCTATTTAAATATTACGAGTTTTTCTTAAAGATGTTCGATGCCCTTATACATTCAAATGTATGTTATGGAAAACATGCACAAGGATATTCTCTGTATAAAAAGGTCCACCTGCTTCAAGTTTCACATTTAAAAGAAATAAATTTCAATTTAAAAAATTCTAATAAAGATATTTTATATGACAATGCATTGCCTTTTCATAATACTACACACGGTACTTGTCAGTTTTTTCATGTTCATGATAAAAAGTGATTCATGTGCATCGCCAACTTTGATGGGATCTATGTGACGTCTTCCTTATAGAGTAGAGAAATGAGCGAGTTTCCTGGACAGAATACATATATATATATATAATGCATTTTTCAGACGTTGAAGGCAAGTGTAGATGCCGGGAGGATTAAAAAGTATTCGAAAGTTTAGAAAGCTTTTAAAACTGAGAGTGTTCTTTTTTAGCATACAATTTGAAGTAAAACTAATTTGCTTTCTAATGAGTGCACGCAACAATATCTTTCGGCAGGTTTTCTATAAAGCATATTTCAGTTGATATTTAATGAGAGCATTGAAACTCACTGCAAAATGCATACTACTTAAATAAAAATTTCTTAAAGGGTAATCTTTATGCAGTGAAATAACCACTTTATACTCAAAAGCCATCAGAAGGCAGTCGCTAGTATACTTAACGAGAATCCGACTAAGGCTATCCACTCTGTTATCCAGGGAAAGTGGGTGCAGTGATTGGACGCGGTTGGCTGGTAAGACGTGAACTACGCCTAGGAGTGCCAAGACACCTGCTTCATCTGTGACTTTTTCTACGAAAGTGCATCGCAATAACGCCTATCGTGGGCGCGTGATGAATCACTGCATCTACTGCCTGGCCCATTGTGGGGTTGGCAGTTCCAACATCAGTTTCGACGATTACCACAGCGTGCTCCACAAAAGGATGGTGCTGAGACAGTGACTTGCGCAGCATCTAATACAATCCCTCTTACTTCATCCACCTGCGCCCACTGTCTAGACAGAGTCAAAAAGGCTGAATGCGGGCTTGGGCACAGATGGCGGGTGCGACGTAAGCCTGACCTTATCGGACCACCATGTTCGGCATTTGTCATGGGAACACAAACCGAATAGTGCCTGCCGCACCCTGCTCTGTCCTCCGTGTTGGTCCAACATATACACGGGCCCGTTTAGGCGACATGATGGCAGATACTATATGCACCACAGTGCCAACCAGTAGTATATATACAAACACAGAATCGTTTATTAAATTAACAGCATAGTTGCCAGCCCAGACAAATTTGCGTCCATTTTGTCTCGCTGCACCACATATCCACGCGGTTCGACTTCTCAACGAGCCTCCCGGCATACCCTATTGTTTTTGACATCTAGTTCGCTTTTAAAATGCTAGGAGTTTTAACTTCTGGATTAAATTCCCATTCACCTTGCGGATCGTTTCGTGAAAGTGCTTTATACTCAGTTTCAAAAGAATATTACGGTATTTGGCCTTGGTAACAGAACCCCGTCAAATGTCAACTCGATATGTAAGGGAGTAGCACCCTCAACTGAGTTTTATCAACCTTTCAGACGTCTACAGGTTTATGCCCTTTAGTAGTTTAATGAGAGTGTTTTTGCAAGTGAATTGTCATTCGGAGGACCGAACCTACTACAGGCATCATTTTTTCACGGCAAAAAAGGCCTCCGCCGTTGCATTGAATTCTCCTCTCCCTCCTACTCCTCTTTCTCCCCTTCTTCTTTGTCCGAAATTTGCACACTCTCACTAAGACAAAAAGGAAGAGACACGTGCGGCCTGCTGAAATGAAATCTGGCGAAGTGTCACACGACCAGACGGCAATTATTTAGCGTCATCTGCAGGGAAAAATTGTTGGATACTACCAAGGCCGCTGCGAGTGCGCGAGACGGGTAACAGTTCGCGACGTCGGAGGCGGCAGACCTCGCTTGGATTTTCACAAAGAATGCTGCGAGACACAGTTCCTAAGCACGAAAGCTCGATGATCTACTGTATTCACCAACACAGCAGCGAGAAAGACCAAAGAGAGAGAGAGTCTAGAGGGACCATTTGTGGCTTAGTGAGTGTCATCAGCCCGTCAAACGCAAACCCGCTTACTGAGCCATTCGAGGCTAGAATCCGCGACCTGGTGGTTGGAATTTCAACGCTCTAGCCACCGCGCTATGGGCTTTTGGTCTAGCTGGTTGAGACTGAGAGAAACAAACATTGGTACACAGGCATTTTCTGATCGGCTACGGAGCTCACACGTCCCGTTCTGCTGGAGGTTCACTCTAGAGTCCCTGCCAGCCGCCTCACAGTGGCTAGTAGTTTAGGCAGGACTATGGATGAATGCCGATGTATCAGTATTAATAGTTATTCGCGTGTTGGCACTCCGAGTATTTCCGCTTGATGGATGCGGAGCATGGGAACAATTCATACTCCAATAAATGTGCAAAAAGACAGGCTGTAAGTGTTAGGAGCCGCCCTAACAGACATGCTCACATGCAGCCCAGGCGAGCCGCTCTCACGCCACGCTATTAGTCCACTCATACACAAAGATTTGCACGCGCACGCGGCCTTCAAGGAGCCGACACCACGTGAGGCAGCCGGAAAGAGATAAATCAATTAGATTGCCAATCGATTCGCTATTCGTTTGAGGGCACAATCTGATTGGTCCGATCTAATTTCGCTCATTTGCTTAAATATCCATAGCAAGTACGCAATAACGACTTCATTTTCTTGCGCCCTTGTCTCCACGTTATTCTTGGGGGACTGAAACAAAACACTTGGGACTGGCAGAAATGTTTGCTCTTGTCAAAATTACTAAAAAAGTACATTTAAACATTATCATTGCCAAAAACTTACTTCAAGGTACGTCGTCAAAAGTGGACGACTGTTGTTAGGTATAAGTTAAGATCGGTTAATTTAAATCGCCAGCAATAGAGTAGAATATTGTCACACAGTGTATATTGATTTAACGATAAAATTGCAGCCTCCACGCTCGTGGTTCAGATTCGTCCAAGCACACGTAAGACTACAAGGTAAACAACATGCAAATGAAGTAGTCCCGTTATCTGATTAGTAGGAAGCGCTCCGAACCAGAAGTTGTTGTCGACACAGTTACAAAAAATGGAATTGATATTTCTGACGTGCTTGCTGTGAGCAATTAGCGAAATCCCAATCCAAACTTAAAAGCCGAGGCTTGAAACAAGTAATCAATTGATAAACATGTACAGTACTCGCTAAAGACCATACAACTTTCATGATGAATTTTTACTTGGTACTTAAGCGTACATTTAGTAAGACTGTTTTGATTCATTCAGTTGAGTGAATTCTGCGAAAGCCTTCTAGTTAGGAAAATCACAATTTTAGTTAGGTTTATTGAGAGAAATAACCATTAATTTTGGGGAAACTGGGAGTCGTCTCATTTCGAAGGAAATTCCTATGCTATTACGAAAGACAGAACCAAACTGCTTGCTAATGTTGATTATACTATGAAATGACTCCAAAATAAGTAAAATAGGTATATAAGATATCCCTAATAGAAATGGAAAATTTTATCCAAAATTGTTTAGATTCAAGTGACGCCAAGTTAAAGGAATCGCATTTATTTAGGGTAACATTTGAGATTTTTATTTAAAAAGATTATGGTTAGAATTTCTGTGAAGTTTTTTTGCACAAAATGCAGTAACAGATAAGTTAGTCAGAAATTTTGTTTTAACGCATATGAGCAATATGTCCAATATGATAACGCGAATTTAGGATGCAGAAGGCTTTATTGAATGTAAGTTGTGTAGAAATACAGTTTTTGTATACTAGATTTTCGCCTTTTGCGTTATTTAGAGACGGAATAGACAGCAGAATAATAGGTATTTCAAAAAAAGGCAACATATATGGCCAGTTTTTTTGAGTTCGCCAGCTTATAACAGAAAGTGAAATAAGTTCACTTATGTGGAAAATAATTCGTTATAAAGAGAAAATAAAGTTCTCGCATCTCCAATCAAACTAAAGCGTTTATCTTCAGGTAACTTAAAGAAATTGTCAAACTTATCTAATTTCGTTGTGATATTACCTTGGAAAAAGTTATTTTACACAGAAGTTCGTCAGCCTAGTATCTAATCAAAACACTTTATAAGAAGCAAACTTTTATGGAAAGTTTTTATTAATCTTAGGAAATGTAGTTTCAGAACTCCGCTGCGGACATGATTAATTCTCGACAATGTGGTTTGCTGTTTTGAGGAATTCTTAATATCAGCAACGTGGCCATGTTCACTTAAACTAATGTCCGAAAAAACTTTCTTTCGGTAAATGCTCTTTATGTCTATCTTATTTTAAACGTTTTGGTTTAAACGTCGAACAGATGCACAATTGATCAATATATCAATGAAGACACTGAAAACGGAGAAAATTATGACACACTTTTTTCCATGAAATTCCATAATTAATTATCCTTGGTCTGTTTTATATTTGCGAAAACTAGATAAACTGCCAGCCCAAACCAC